AAATGCCGACCACGACAGACCTAACTTTTTATATATTTTGTGGAGGAAATTAGACTTTTGCTTTCAAATTAAAATTTGGCAGCATTCGAGGTTCTGCCAGCTCGTATTTTCAGATTTCCCATGTTTTTGGGTAAGAAAACGCATAAAATATTTGTACACTTTTAAGGTTGCTTTCTTATGAGGTAGACGCTGATATTTCGCGTGCCAAAAACTCTACTCTATATTTCTACCAGGGTGTTGCGTTATTTTTGTTTACCTCTTTAGAAAGCATAAAATGGAGGAAAAAAATGCTTTATTAAAGTATTTGAAAACAGGAAGTCGAAATGGAAGCTTGGGCATGTTGGTAAGGCATGATTATTCAAAACGTACAGCGAAACAGACGGGACGGAACGAAGGAGACAAACAACCCCCGTTGTTTGTTTCCTTTCTTCCTTCCCGTCTGTTTTGCTGTACGTTTAAGAATAAAGTCATATTTGATGCTATTAACAATTGTTTAGGGTGTGGTTGGGGTATAAAAGTGGAATTCACCCAAAGCGAGGAGCCCTATGTAGTATACGGCCGTACCAACACGGCTTCAGTGCCCCCAAATAAAGAGTTTGTTGGCTTTCGAGATTATAATTGTATATCGCTATTTTTTTCGCTCCCTCCATGTCGCTCTGCCATCTCTACGCTGATATACGGGACCAGGTCAACGAGGCTTAGGATTAAGGTTCGATAGAGTCTACTATAATCACTTCCTTTGTGCCTTCAAGTGTCTATGCCTCCTTCTCTTCGAAGTATTAAAACGAAATCTCTATAAACACCGATCTAAAATTTGTAAGCGTCAGATGCTCTCACTGAAAGTACAGGCTCCCTTTTCCGCTATTGGAATAATCCATCACGCAAGTTTGCGAACGCACGAATCACACAAGCTGTTGGAGAGGAAGCTGCACCGAAGCGGGTTTTCAATCTGTTGGGGATTAGCGGCGCGTCTCTTCTATAAACCAGCTTTAAAACGGCGCAAGGTCAATGCGAGCACTGTACACATATGCCGCAGCTTTATTTTTCTCTCTCTCTCGCGTACGATATCTTACTTTGTTACCTTTATTTGCTTCCCTCCATTTTTTCCTAGGGAAGAGACCGCAAAGAGGCGGGGATGTTTTCCGAGCGGTTGCTAAAAACTAGACAGGCAAAGGACTCGGCCGGGAAGCTCGAGTATAAATCCCGGCGGGAAGAGGGAAACGGGAAAAGAGATAGACACGACAGCGGGATGCATTGGGATTGGCCACGTTGTCTTCTCGGGGGCAAGAAGGATACGGAAAAGGGAGAGGGAAACTTCAGGGAAGGAGGGGGAGCGGAGGGAGCCTCTGGGCTGAGGGACTTGTGGCTCCGGAGCGACGCCCGGCCGCCAGACCCCCTCTTCTTCCACCGGGGCGAGTGCTCATTTATCATAATCGTCCTTTATGGCAGCCAGGCCGGTTTTAATCGTTGCCGTGGAATTAATAATTCGTGCCGGTAATATGGGGGCGAGCTTCGCGAAGGGTGTCGCTGCAGTGGGCCTCAAGAGCGTAGAGCGTGGATGGTGCGTAAAGAAGAAGAGAGGAAAAAAAAAAGGGGGGGGGGGGGGGGGCGGGAATCGGATGAGAGGGTTGAGAAACGGGCCTCGTGGTGATGTCATTATTTCGTGCATTGAATATTGATTCGTTGGGAATAATATATATATATATATATATATATATATATATATATATATATATATATATATATATATATATATATATATATATATATATATATATATATATGGGTCACACTTTCAGGACACCGTCTAGGTTTGGGGAACACTATACGGTAGCAAAGTCAAGCGGAAATTGTGAATCAAGCAAGTATTACGAGGATGCGAGAAGCAAAAATGGGAAACTCGCATTGTGGGAGTGTTAGCTATTTTTGCGGCCGAAATCATACCTTCATTCTCCAATTCGACATGTCCCGGATTTTGTGGAAGATATGAATACGCATATAATAACTACCTTATGTATATGTGTATCTAAAAGCGGTAGTACCTAGCAAAATGCATCGCACGTAAGCGATAGCGGCACCGCCCAGCAAAACGCATCGCACGCAAGCGCAGGTAAGTATAGAACTGTTCGATGAACGTGTCACTTTAATTGATAAATACTTGTGATAGTGCCCTTTAAAATACTCCTGAGAAGGTATCTATTGGTGACTCCAGCGAAATCGACGCCGCGTAGCGGCAACGCCGAAAAGCTCAGGAGAGGAGGTCGTTTCGACTCTGCCGTCTACTATCGCCGCTTGGTTCTCGTAGGCAGCATAAAAACCAACATCGTTTCCAGTAAATGTTTTTATGCTTTCGCCGTGTCATTTTTACGCACTGACTTGAAGAAGGCTTTAACCATCGAAAAATCGCTTTCCTTCATATGTAACACCGATTTTACGATGCAGTGCAAGAAATATATGGTGGTTCGCGTGAAGAACGACAAGATTAACCTCCTTTCGTCCGCCATTTTTCTGACCAGCGCGCCCCCTATAGTTCGCTGGAGTCGCTAATACATGCCTAGATTTTTACACAAAACTCGGAGTATTCTAGAAGCAACAGTTGTCTGAACATGACTTTAAAAATGCAAGTAATAGTCTACAGAGCCTAACGTTTCTGAGTCTTCAAACACAGAAAATACGCTCGTTAGTAAAAAAAAAAGAAACTCGAAACGACTAGTGTCGGGCAGTGGAACAACCCACAGGAATTCCGAAGTCTGACATCACTCTTGTCTGCATGTGCTCTGTTCCTCCGGTTTTGGTTACACCCTGTTTGTTTTTACGTGCAAGTTACGCGACTCTGCAACAAAGCAACAAAGGAGGAAGTTGAGCAAATTAGTGCGTGATTGGGGCTAGGCTTCTTCCCTAATACTGCGATTTTTGTGTATTTTTCTTGGTGCTGTTTTTGCTTCAACCTGTATAGAAGTACTAATTAGGTGGATCCTTGACGGCCATGTTCCTGCGCTTCGCACGAAACTAAGTGATTCACTTTGGGGGTGCCGACAACCCCTAAACCGGGTACCTGGGATTGCATGATGGGGAAAAACAGTTCAGTAAACTCAGACAAAGTAAAGTCGCATCCACGGCTGGACACGGCTGGACCTATAGGATTGTTTGCGCCGAATGGTGACCAGTGTTGCCGTCGCCTCGGTTCTGTTAAAACATTGACCCAACTGAACTACGAGACACGGGCATTTCCATTCTCCTTTTCCTTCTCGCGAATTTAATGGCGGGCAACGCGACACACCACACTGAGGAATCGGGCCGCCTTTCGAGCCCCCCCCCCCCCCCCCCCTTCGACTATTGGTTAATCGTAAAGTCGGGACGTAACGACGTCCTGAGATTGAAGAACACCCGCGAGGACGGCCACGAAAGGCCAATCAAGGTTTATGGCTTCCTATCGGCAAACGACGGGATTTGACGATGCCTCCGACCTCTTGGCCCCCTTGAACAAACACGTTGTAAAGTGACGTACTACACTTTCGCTCTTGCTTGTTTCTGAGCGTGAACAGGTCGAGCGAATGATCTGTTCCTGACCTCACCTGCTGCTTTATGGATGGCCGCCTGCGAAGAGACGTTTAAATGCCGCCCAGGATCACCCTTGCTCCTTGCCGACAGCTGCCTACGGAGAGTGTGCGAGTCAAGGCTTAAGGGGCTCCAAAAGGGGGTGTGATATGGATGCAACGAGGTAACTGGAGAGCAGAAAATTTTATGTTATCGATTCATTAAAACGTATACGCTTATAATTCTGAGCTTCTTGTGTGACACGTAAAAACGTCATATTTTGTGTTTCGTGTTTTCGGGGCTCTAATTTTCTTCAAATTCAAGACACTTTTTTTTTTTGCAACAGATTAGGTTTTTTTTTGTACGTTTTCGGTGTAAAACTAAAATCGGTGTTTATCGGGGCTTATGTTGAAGAAAACAAGACACGACGAGTTTGGGATTCCCCAACCCCAAGGGAACCTGCGCGTGATCCGTATACTTGTAAAAAAACGTACCGGTACCCATTAAAGATTACAACGAGCTCCAAATCGGGCTTCAATAGATCGATCTCATTAAACGTTCCACGCAAGCGTGACGCCGCCATAACTTAGTTCACGGAGGTCAGGCGCCAGTGCATGAGATGGCTCGTGCCGTCTCGTGAACGGCTCGCGCACATCTCCAGCGGGTTTGTCGCACGCGCAGAAAGACTACAGTTCCCATGATTTACGCCGGCAGCGGCGCCGTAACGAAACTAAAGCCTGGTTCAGAGAGTTGCGTTTGACTGCGTTTGACTGCGTTGCGGCTTCGAGAAACCAGGACATCCCTGTTGCTTATATCGCGTGCCAAGATGATTCCTTGAATTGGATTCCATGCTTCATACAAACCACAGATATACCGCTTTCGGTTCTCGGCGCAACTAGAGTGCCTTCATACGCACGCGCGCTTTTGCTTGAATGGTGACACCTCAGCCATTTTTCCGCCTAATCGTTTTTCTATGCACTTTGAAGTGCGCGCAATCCGGTGTCACTCAGCTCGAGCGCGTAGGTTTCGCTAATGCATAGAAGCCATTTTACCGCCCAAGTCACGCACTGGGTGCGCGAGAGCGTCACGCCCTGGCACATTCAGGGTGACAATAGATGTCTTCACCCTCAGACAGACAGACATGTAGGCACCCAGGCGCAACGCAGTCAAACACACTCAAACGCAAATATCTGAACTAGCGTTAACTGGTGATATTGGTCGAATCGGGGGCTCAGATTTGGGCTTTATTTCAGGCTCCAAATCGGGCTCCGATTCAGGATCCGATTGGGGCTCCATTTCGGGTTCCATTTCGGGCTCCAATTCCGGCTCCAATTCGGGCTCGATTCGGGCTCAATTCGGGCCGCAAATCGGGCTCCATTTTAGGCTCCATTTCGGGATCCATTTCGGGCTCCAATTCGAGTTCTAGTTCGGGCTTCCATACGGGCTCCATTTCGGGTTCAATTTCAGGCTCCATTTCGGGCTCCAATTCGGGCTCCAATTCGGGCTCCGATTGGGGCTCCGATTTGGGCTCCGATTCGGGCACCAATTCGGGTCCATTTCGGGCTCAAATTTGGGTTCCGATTCTTGCTCAATTCCTGTTCCATTGCTGGCTCTGATTCGGGCTCCAATTCGGGCTCCATTTCAGGCTCCATTTCGGGCTCCGATTTGGGCTCCAATTTAGACTCCATTTCAGGTTCCAATTCCGGCTCTAGTTCGGGCTCCAATTCGAGCTCCGATTGGGCGCGTTCAGTAGCGCCTCCCTTGCCTCCGAACGGAGTGCCTCGAGTCGGAGTCATCGGAGCGCCTACTGAACGGCAAAAAAACCCGCGGCTCCAAACCTGCTTCTACGCAACTTCCGCTTCCTCCCCTGTGCCAGACGGTCTCCGAATAAACTGGAAGCAGACGATGGCGAGCACGATCGCTTTTATTTGTGGCCGGTATTGAAGAAGTCTTTACAAGAGCGTTGAAGAAAAAGCGGGTGATTGTACACATCAGCGCTGCTGTTCGAAGCGATGCAACGCGATCGAGCCTTTCGCTTGGCGGTGCAAAGGCAGCTACTGTTATAAAAGCCGACAAAGAACGTCGTCAGTACACGCAAAATACAGAGCTCAGCGAATCTACCCCGCCGGTTGCGATACTTTTATATGGCCATAAGTTTGTTCTGCCCTTCGTTACGAACTTCCTATAGAATGTATTCGTACACACACGGGAAGTTCGGCCGCGCTCGGCGATCAAGGTTTTTTCGGCCGAAGCGAGCTTCAGCCAACGTGCACCCCGATTTAGCTACGCAAACAAAACATTAATCGGTATCATGCTCTGCGTGAGTGTCCAACCGGCTTCCAAAGTCGCGTTCATACCCTGTTTTGCTCTGTTGAGCGCAGACAGGACTATCGTCAATATTACCAAGTTTCCGAGCAACGGTGATCAAGACACGGCGTCAAATGAACGTTTGCGTTGTTTATTAGCATATTCATACCAAACAAAATATGGTCCAATGCATTTTCCGAAAGAGCCTTACCTGAAAAAGATATTCGAACGCGTTATTCGTCTTACCTTGAGTACTTTTCATTAACAAAAGCGAGCAAACCGCGCACCCGCGACAGAAGCGAAGCAGCTTATCCCGCCATATTGTTTCTTTTTCCTCTTTTAGCGCCGGAAATCGTCACCAGTCAGGAAATGACGTCATTTTAGCTCCTTTGACTCTACGTGCACCGTCTCCGGACTCGGTGCTTCGGAGCTTGACTCCGAAGCCCCGGAGTTACGTGCACCGGAAGTGACTTTTGGCCGTCCAGTGGAAGGAGTCAGTGACTCCTTGACTCCGGGGCCGCTACTGAACGCGCCCATTGGGGCTCCATTTCGGGCTCCAATTCAAACTCCAATTGGGGCTCCGATTTTGGCTTCGATTCGGGCTTCGATTCGGGCTTCACTTCTGGCTCCAATTCAGGTTCCGATTCGGGCTCAATTCGGGTTCCATTTCTGGCTCTAATTCTGGCTCCAATGCGTGCTCCAATTTGGGCTCCATTTCGGGCCCCAATTTGGGTTCCGATTTGGGCAGAAATTTGGGCTCCAATTAGGGCTCTGATTCGGGCATAGATTCGGGCTCCCAATCGGGCTCCATTTCGGGCTCAAATTCGGGCTCCCATTCGGGCAACAATTCGATCTTCGATTCCGGCTCCAGTTCGGGCTCCAATTCGAGCTCCGATTGGGGCTCCATTTCGGGCTCCAATTCAGACTCCAATTGGGGCTCCGATTTGGGCTCCGATTCGGGCTTCCGTTCGGGCTTCATTTCTGGCTCCAATTCTTGTTTCGATTCGGGCTCAATTCGGGTTCCATTTCTGGCTCTAATTCTGGCTCCAATGCGTGCTCCAATTCGGGCTCCGATTCGGGCAGAAATTCGGGCTCTAATTCGGGCTCTGATTCAGGCACGGATTCGGGCTCCCATTCAGGCTTTATTTCGGGCTCCAATTCGGGCTCCCAGTCGGGCTCCAATTTAATCTTCAATTCCGGCTCCATTTCAGGCTTCAATTCGGGCTCCCATTCGGGCTCCAATTCAATCTTAAATTCCAGCTCCAGTTAGGGCTCCAATTCGAGCTCCGATTGGGGCTCCATTTCGGGCTCCAATTCAGACTCCAATTGGGGCTCCGATTTGGGCTCCGATTCGGGCTTCCATTCGGGCTTTATTTCTGGCTCCAATTCGGGTTTCGATTCGGGCTCAATTCGGGTTCCATTTCTGGCTCTAATTCTGGCTCCAATGCGTGCTCCAATTCGGGCTCCGATTCGGGCTTCCATTCGGGCTTCATTACTGGCTCCAATTCGGGTTTCGATTCGGGCTCAATTCGGGTTCCATTTCTGGCTCTAATTCTGGCTCCAATGCGTGCTCCAATTCGGGCTCCGATTCGGGCAGAAATTCGGGCTCTAATTCGGGCTCTGATTCAGGCACGGATTCGGGCTCCCATTCAGGCTTTATTTCGGGCTCCAATTCGGGCTCCCAGTCGGGCTCCAATTTAATCTTCAATTCCGGCTCCATTTCAGGCTTCAATTCGGGCTCCCATTCGGGCTCCAATTCAATCTTAAATTCCAGCTCCAGTTAGGGCTCCAATTCGAGCTCCGATTGGGGCTCCATTTCGGGCTCCAATTCAGACTCCAATTGGGGCTCCGATTTGGGCTCCGATTCGGGCTTCCATTCGGGCTTCATTTCTGGCTCCAATTCGGGTTTCGATTCGGGCTCAATTCGGGTTCCATTTCTGGCTCTAATTCTGGCTCCAATGCGTGCTCCAATTCGGGCTCCGATTCGGGCAGAAATTCGGGCTCTAATTCGGGCTCTGATTCAGGCACGGATTCGGGCTCCCATTCAGGCTTTATTTCGGGCTCCAATTCGGGCTCCCAGTCGGGCTCCAATTTAATCTTCAATTCCGGCTCCATTTCAGGCTTCAATTCGGGCTCCCATTCGGGCTCCAATTCAATCTTAAATTCCAGCTCCAGTTAGGGCTCCAATTCGAGCTCCGATTGGGGCTCCATTTCGGGCTCCAATTCAGACTCCAATTGGGGCTCCGATTTGGGCTCCGATTCGGGCTTCCATTGGTACTTCATTTCTGGCTCCAATTCGGGTTTCGATTCGGGCTCAATTCGGGTTCCATTTCTGGCTCTAATTCTGGCTCCAATGCGCGCTCCAATTCGGGCTCCGATTCGGGCAGAAATTCGGGCTCTAATTCGGGCTCTGATTCAGGCACGGATTCGGGCTCCCATTCAGGCTTTATTTCGGGCTCCAATTCGGGCTCCCAGTCGGGCTCCAATTTAATCTTCAATTTCGGCTCCATTTCAGGCTTCAATTCGGGCTCCCATTCGGGCTCCAATTCAATCTTAAATTCCAGCTCCAGTTAGGGCTCCAATTCGAGCTCCGATTGGGGCTCCATTTCGGGCTCCAATTCAGACTCCAATTGGGGCTCCGATTTGGGCTCCGATTCGGGCTTCAATTCGGGCTTCATTACTGGCTCCAATTCGGGTTTCGATTCGGGCTCAATTCGGGTTCCATTTCTGGCTCTAATTCTGGCTCCAATGCGTGCTCCAATTCGGGCTCCGATTCGGGCAGAAATTCGGGCTCTAATTCGGGCTCTGATTCAGGCACGGATTCGGGCTCCCATTCAGGCTTTATTTCGGGCTCCAATTCGGGCTCCCAGTCGGGCTCCAATTTAATCTTCAATTCCGGCTCCATTTCAGGCTTCAATTCGGGCTCCCATTCGGGCTCCAATTCAATCTTAAATTCCAGCTCCAGTTAGGGCTCCAATTCGAGCTCCGATTGGGGCTCCATTTCGGGCTCCAATTCAGACTCCAATTGGGGCTCCGATTTGGGCTCCGATTCGGGCTTCCATTCGGGCTTCATTTCTGGCTCCAATTCGGGTTTCGATTCGGGCTCAATTCGGGTTCCATTTAGGGGTGTCGCGAACTTTTGTCGAACCAGATTTTTTGGTCGAACTTTCGGGGTTCGACTGGGTCGAACCGGTTCGACGAACCTTCGAACTTTTAACCAAATTTCGACCGGTTCGACTTTGTGGACAGTGTGGCCAGACCTTTATAGAAGCATGTCTAAGTTTGGAGAATTTTTTTTATGCGAAGGGTTATTTTTAAATTTATGAACAGTTGCAATTAAAGAAACCAATTCTAATCACTGAAGAAGTTAATAACTTAATTGTTTTGTGCTGTATTAACTGAAATAACCAATCAGCGCTGCACTTAATTCATCTCTTAGCCATTATCATCCAATCCGAAGCCAACTGGCCAGACTGTCGCGCATGCGCACACGAGTCGAACCTCAATAGAAGGTTCGTCGAAATTTCCACTAAAAGTTCGAAAAAGTCGAACCTGGTCGAACTCGAACCGCGGCCGGTTCGCGACACCCCTAGTTCCATTTCTGGCTCTAATTCTGGCTCCAATGCGTGCTCCAATTCGGGCTCCGATTCGGGCTTCCATTCGGGCTTCATTACTGGCTCCAATTCGGGTTTCGATTCGGGCTCAATTCGGGTTCCATTTCTGGCTCTAATTCTGGCTCCAATGCGTGCTCCAATTCGGGCTCCGATTCGGGCAGAAATTCGGGCTCTAATTCGGGCTCTGATTCAGGCACGGATTCGGGCTCCCATTCAGGCTTTATTTCGGGCTCCAATTCGGGCTCCCAGTCGGGCTCCAATTTAATCTTCAATTCCGGCTCCATTTCAGGCTTCAATTCGGGCTCCCATTCGGGCTCCAATTCAATCTTAAATTCCAGCTCCAGTTAGGGCTCCAATTCGAGCTCCGATTGGGGCTCCATTTCGGGCTCCAATTCAGACTCCAATTGGGGCTCCGATTTGGGCTCCGATTCGGGCTTCCATTCGGGCTTCATTTCTGGCTCCAATTCGGGTTTCGATTCGGGCTCAATTCGGGTTCCATTTCTGGCTCTAATTCTGGCTCCAATGCGTGCTCCAATTCGGGGTCCGATTCGGGCAGAAATTCGGGCTCTAATTCGGGCTCTGATTCAGGCACGGATTCGGGCTCCCATTCAGGCTTTATTTCGGGCTCCAATTCGGGCTCCCAGTCGGGCTCCAATTTAATCTTCAATTCCGGCTCCATTTCAGGCTTCAATTCGGGCTCCCATTCGGGCTCCAATTCAATCTTAAATTCCAGCTCCAGTTAGGGCTCCAATTCGAGCTCCGATTGGGGCTCCATTTCGGGCTCCAATTCAGACTCCAATTGGGGCTCCGATTTGGGCTCCGATTCGGGCTTCAATTCGGGCTTCATTTCTGGCTCCAATTCGGGTTTCGATTCGGGCTCAATTCGGGTTCCATTTCTGGCTCTAATTCTGGCTCCAATGCGTGCTCCAATTCGGGCTCCATTTCGGGCCCCGATTCGGGTTCCGATTCGGGCAGAAATTCGGACTCCAATTCGGCCTCTGATTCGGGCATGGATTCGGACTCCCATTCGGGCTCCATTTCGGGCTCCAATTTGGACTCCAGTATGGGCTCCATTTAGGGCTCTATTTCGGTCTTCAATTCGGGCTTCGATTCGGGCTTCCATTCGAACTCAGATTCGGGCTCCGATTCGGGCTCCAATAAACGATATGCTAAAATGCTTGGTAGTCTGACAGTACTGTGGGCGCGGCCATCTTTGTAGCGTCGAGTTTCTTGAGTTTCGGTTTCTCAGCATTTCCAGGACAGTGACGCTCTGTCACTGACTGTGATTCAGCAACTTTATTGTTTTCTGACTTCCGATCACCCAACGTGAACAGAGGACTAGACCGTCATGCCTTTAATCTGTGAAGACACTTTCAATTCTTTTTTGATGCGAAGACGCGTGCAGTACTGTTTAGCGGTCGACTGCTCCACGCCAATACATGCAACTGAATGTTCGGGTTTGTTTGTTTTTTTCTCTTTTTTTAGGTGTTACTGGCGAAAGATTTAATTAGTGCAGAGCTCCAAGTTCTTGTAACAAAAACTGCTCTGGGTAAAAGTTTTCGGGCGTAGCAAAGTGCTTAAATTGGTTTAGATAGCATCCACCTCAAGTAGAGTTGACGGATGTGGCGCTGGTTGATGAAGATTTGTTCAACCCTGGCAGGATAACTGCACTGACTTTTCCAAGACTACCCCTCTTCCCACCTCCCCCGAGTTTCTTTTGTACTTAACAAAATTGTAACCTCGGCTTTAACCATTAATAAAAAATAAAAAAGAGGCAGTGAAATTAAGTTGACATTGCCCGTGTTACTCCACTCGACGTCCGCAGCATAACTTTCTGCCGCCGCCAACATAAAAGGTTTTGCCACTGCGATGAACCTAAGGGATGTAACACTTACTTAGGTCTCTGTGAGCATTGAGCAAATAGACACGTCGTCCGTGCCAGTCGTGTTTTCTATTCTACATAACCGCGCTTTAACTATTCAAGAATATTTTATCGACAAACTCTCCTGTTTAGTTTTAGAGGTGTTTTACAAACCTCGCAAAAAAGTTAGCCCCCCCAAAACTTCGAAAAAAGTTTTTTTTTCGAAGCTTCTAATCTATAAAATCTTTACATAGTGTAACGTTTCGGCATGTGGTAACAAAAATAGAAAAAGGGGACAAGCCCGAGACTTTACCGATATTTCTTTGACTATACAATCGCTGACACCTGATGAAACATGGGGTGGGCGTGTGGCTTAAAGTGTTCACGCTTTGCGATTCGTTGGTGAGCGGTCCTATCGACTATTGCCGCAGTTCAATTGTGTGCAGAAGGACAATAAGTTTCAAAACTCGCAACACCCAGTGTGTGTGTGTTTATATATATATATATATAGAGATATATATATATATATATAGGTTGTCAGCGTCTATAACGGCTTGGAGTAATGAAAAGCGCGTGTCACGTATTCCGATACACTGGAACAAGTGATTAAAGAGCCAATTTTTGTTAAAAGTGCCCGTGGATTGGGCGGATCGTCCTCGAAATTGGATGGAAAACTTTTGACTTCCATTACAATGATGGAACATCGCTATGAGTGGCTGCAAGCCTATGTTGTTTAAATTTTGTATTCGTCGATCTTAATCCCCTCACAAACAAGGGCGAAAGGTACCTGAAATTTTTAAATCAATTTAGCAATATTACTGTATATCACTCAAACATATTTAATAATATATTATAATAATTAAATGTTGTTACTGCAATCCTTTACGAGTATAGTATGTGGTGCTATTTAAGACAACAGTAGCAATCTGTCGCACTGTTTCTTTAAAGTGAAGGCGGTGGGATCGAGGGTTCAACGCACGCTTAAAATTCTGGCACAAGATCCCGCTCAATGAGCCAACACGCATTTTCGAGTGTAGCTAGACAACAGTGAAGAAAAAAAAAACAAAAAGAAAAAAAACAACGAGAAAATCAATTTTGGGAGCACTAGTACCCACAACCTTCACATATCCAAACTCCTTTTTTTAATGTTATTAATAAACGTATCTTTTTTAATTGCGAGGAGGCACGCGACACTAAGATTATTACCCAGAGACGTGCATATCCTTTTCTTTATTTTTGTAAAAACGGCGCTTAATATTTAGAAAAAAAGAAAAAAAAGAAATAGGTCATTATGTTTTTTTTTATTTTTTTAACCTTTTCAATTTGGTGGGTATCTGACTTTCAGAACTAAGCAAGCTAAGCGAGAATCACCTTTAAGAAAAACATAAAAATAAAAAAAAAAAAAAACATTTAAAGGGCTTATAAATACTTGGGACATGTTTTTTCTATATTTTCCCTATGAAAAAAAAAAGCGCAATATTTACTTTGTTTGACGCAATTTAGGTGAAGGTAGCCCGTTCTATACTCCGTTTTACATAATGTTGTACCGCAGCGAAGGCCACTAGGACGAGCTCATAGCGTTGGCAGCCGCCTTTATGCACGAGAGCTTGTGCCACCCTGGTGCCACCGAGATGTGCCTTACACTCTAAAAAATGTCTGTAAGTCTACTTTCCCGCACAAGACTCGGAGAGCCAATCAGCGCAACTTACGGAGGCAGCTCAGCGAATGACGATGCGGAAACATATGTTTAGACCAAAAAACGCAGTCTGAGTTGTGACATTAAGCAATGCAAAACGTCACGCTTGCATTGCTTAATGTCACAACTCAGACCGCGTTTTTTGGTCTATACTCTAAACACATGTTTCGGCATCGTCGTTCGATGAGCTGCCTCTGTAAGTTGCGGTGATTGGCTCTCCGAGTGATGTGCCTGAAAGTAGACGCACAGACTTTTTTTTTAGAGTGTAGAGCAAAGAGCTGGCGCTTGTAGCCTTTCCTGTGGAGCATAATAAGGTAAAATAGAGTATAGGCTCCGTCCAGGGAACGTAGTTAACTATACGTTCCAATCTCGACTCTTGGAGAGAAGATTGACGAGTGCATTTTTTTAAGTAAAATTGTTCCTCAGTGCCGTAGTAGTATATTTAGAGACAATATATTTATGTATGAGAAGAAAGGAATCTAGATAGAGTCATTACTGTTTACAAAA